AAAAGCCCATTAGAAATGGCGCCAATAGAAGAAGAAAGTTGGTGCCATTTTTGTGGTTGGGCCGATTTGACAAGAATGATTGAACAAATACATCTTACTTTGTAGCCATATAGCTAGAAGGGAAGATATAGAGAAGAAAAAAAAACACAAAGGAAAAAGAAGAAGACAATGGACGATAAGTGAAATTGTTCTTCATCAGCTTGGAAGTGAGGTTATTAAAAGCAGAAATAAAGGTACGAATTTTCATTTTCAATGCAACACTACTATAGTGAAGCGTTCTGGTGAATCAGTTTCAAGAAAGGTAGCATGTTATGTAATAGATTTTTGCTTGATCAGTAGATTTTTTAGTTGGTGGTAAAGCTTAAGAGCTGTATTTAATGTATGCTGATGTTATTTGCAAATTTCATTTGTTTCTGTAAAAAAAATAAAGGCTCAAACATGGACTTTTTTTATCAGCACTTTGCATCCAAATCTGAAAATGTAGGATGGGAACTCTTGTTGCTACTTATGACATTGATGTTCACTGTAATTGATCCAGACCCGACCCAAATCCGATAAATTTTTTTCGGATTTGGGTTGAAAAATAATTTTGATACCTGAATCTGGATCCAAACCTGTTTACTCTAACAAAAAAAAGGGTCAGATACGAAAATATAGAATTTTGACCCGTATTTCACTCGGATCCGAACAGTATATTAATAGTTATAAAATATAAAATTTTTAAATACATTCTTTTATCAAATTAACAATTTAATAATGACTTTGTAGATTGATTGGTGGTTAGTTTTAGATTGACTATTGCGAGTTATTTGTGATTTAGTTTTGTAATTTGATTTGTTTAAGTTTGGAGATTGAATTTGTGATTGATTTTGGATTTAATTTTGAAATATTTAAATTTGGACCTTTTAGACCCGAATCTGACCCGGACCCAATTCCGAAACTCTGAGATCAAGACCTGTCGGATATGCGGGTCGAATGTTAGTCTACTACATACAAAGCGAATTCAGATCCGAAATTTTCAATTTCGACTCGAACCCGATCCATTGACACCCCTATGCATATAGGACAGGTTGCATTTGTAGTGAGTGATCGTCCTTGCTTTTTCTCCTGTGTTATCAATCTGTTATGTCTGATCTTCCAGATTAAGTTCTGCCATTACTAGGGTCCTCTCAGCTTCCAAATCTTATTCCACCCTATGTTGATGGGGTGTTTCTCTTCATTCTCCCAAGCTAAGCCGTATGCAATGGGGTGTCTTGTATTCTTGAGCGGGACTTGAGGATACAGCGGATATCACGTAACTGGCGCGTGCGGGTTAGGGGCGTGACAGTCTCTCTTTATTCTCCCAAACTAAGCCGTATGCAGAGCTTGTCATGAAGACTCCTCTGTTATCTGGTTTCCAGCAGAGTGTGTCCTGATTCATTTCTCCTTCAGTCAGGGAGATGATTGTGTATGTTGCCTGGCAGATTATTCTGCAACTCCTCCCATTTCCAGTCCTTCTCCAGCTCCCAGTAATTGCTTTTCCATTGACCTGACCTGACCTAGCATCGAAACAAGCAAATCACCATTAAGCAACATTATAAATTCACAATTTACCCAAATAAATTGAAGGAACAATAAGCTGAATATAGTGGGAGAAAATACTCGGTATAATTTCTTAATTTTCACTAACGTTGTTAATGTGTCCATGGAATTATGGATAGGATCACGTGAGACTTGAACCGCTTTTTTTTTTGGGTGCTTTGGAAGGCCATGGCCTGTTACACAGAAACTAGTTTGGGGGTTGCTAACTCCCATGATATCAGCTGCTAGAATTCGTCTTAAGCTCTGTAATGGACTTTCAATCCAAGTGACTCCTACTCTTGTCTTCAGGCTTTCCTTTGCGAGGAAGTCTGCGCACATATTTCCTTTGAGACTTGGAACTTTGTGGCAGACAACTTGGTCGTGTATCTTTGGTATAAAGTTAGGAACAAGTCTATGAGGAATGTTAATAATAGGTACTTTCAAGAATTTCTCTACCAGCATTAGGAGCATAGATCGTTGCATGACCGAGAATTTTCAAGGGAAATTGGAAACACTTTGTACATCTTCCATTTGCATGGTGGAAGAAATTTCTTATTACTCTCCTAACAATAATAATAGAATAAGTCATCAGCCAATAAAAGAAAGAACCCGAGAACCACCTTACCCTTTTCTCTCCTGCTTCAGAAGTTCCAATTTCCATTGACCTGAGCCGAGCTAGCCAACGGTTCACTGCTTATTTGGAGGGAAATTGAACCCCCCAATTTGGAGGAAACTCAGTACTACCTTTGAAATGGTCGTTACTTCATGATTCAATTAAGGGGATCATTTCGCATACCTCCCATGAAATTTTTGACAATTGCACGTAGATGCTCTCGAATTTTTAAACATAACACTTGTCTCCCTTATTTAAGATGCTTTAAACATACATGGTCCATGTCAATACGAAGTAATTTCCAAAAATAGAGGTTGCTTTTTTTTTTTATTATTCAAAGGTTACCGTTTTCATACTTTAAAGAATTTGTCACTCCTTGTCATCCGGTTGCCATACTTTTTTTCCAATTTACATATAGTAGTTTTTTTTTTTTTTGGAAAAAAGATACTTGAAGGCAACTTATGAAGAAAGAAGCATAATGGATATTTATTCCAAAGGTTTTCTATATAGAAATGAAAGATAAATCCAACTATTTGATATTCAAATTAAGCTCGATTCAATAAAAACTCATTTGAGTTTGGTAAAAAATTTCAAGTTCGACTCGCACATGGCTCAATTAGTAAAAAAATTTTAATAGTGATAGGCAAAAAAAAAATAGAGTTACTCGAGTTCCGATCAATAAATAAGTTAGTAAATTTTGAACATAATTTTAATTTCATTAAAATAAACAGAAATTTTGAATACTAAAGTATTCGATTTGATTAAACTTGTTTACAGTCCTATCTGTACATTGACTGTTTTACTATTAACAAAATTTGTAGGGCAATATGTATTTTTGTGTATAAGTCTCTGTGAATGCTCTTACTTGTAAATTACTAAAAATTTGTGAATTTTTTATGAGTTAGGAATTCGTTTCCACCATTTTCACAATCTTTTTTAAGTATTGCGTATCCATTTTTTTAGACAGTGGCAACGATTAATGTGGAAGTAATATATAGCACCAACCTTAAAAATTAGTGTTCAATGCTTCTAATGAAACTTAAAAAAAATTAAACAAAATCAAAAAGCTCCGTATATAGAAAAAGTGGCACATATTCCAAGGGCTATTATGTAATTAAACAAAATCATATACTATATATTTTTTTAATCTGTTTGTGTGCATTGTGTACAACTCCATCTAGAATCTAGATAGATGATTCTTGTGTCTTCTGTCCGGTTGTTATCACGCTGTATTAAAATTCTCCCGTGAGAGTGAGAGAGGCCCACGCGGGAGAGACCCAAAAGGTCTGAAAAACCAAAGATGCCAATTGACAGGTAATATCCAACTGCCCAACCGCCAAAAGATAAGAAAAGTTGAAGTTTCTCAGGGTCTACATCTGCACTCTGTTTCTTTATCCCCCTCCTCCTCCTCCTTTTTTTTTTTTTGGTGAGAAGAGTCTACACCAAGACACAAGAACAGTTCTATTGATGCTCTATTATAGTTGTAGAGTCTGTTTGGATTAGCTATTTTTAGGATTTTTTATTTTTTATTGGCACTTTATTATGAGATATTTGGTAAAATTTTAAAAAAATTTAAACTAATTTTTAGATTATCTTTTAGAGTAGTTTATTGTAACTTTTATTGTATTTGAAAAACTAATTTTTAAAAAACACTCTAAAAATAGGAGATCCAAACAGAGCAATTATTAGTATGAAAATGGTTATGATTGACTGGTGAATGTGTATATACGGTAATATGATGCCAGTGTGAAAAATGGAAAAGAGCTGGCGTTCAAAGTTGGGCAACCAAAAAAATTCTCTATATATCAATATCATGCATTCAAAGTGGGTGTGGCCTGTGGGTGGAGAGGCACTAAAAAATTTGTAGTGTATTTTGACAAACTTTGGAGGCTTCGTGATTGGGAGTCCATTGTCCACGGGGACCCATCTTATTAAGCAATGAAATGACCCAAAAATATAAGAGGTTGAACTTGAAAGATTCCTAACTTGGCGTCACGAAATCAGCGACTTGTGAGATAATTCAAACCCCACCCCCCCCAAACAATTGGTAGCCTACTTGTATTGTATTTGCATTTGTATTTCAAACAAAGGCCATGACTCTCACCATTCCGTTACAGATTTCTTGAGGGATATTATTCTCTGTTTATTGACTTTGTACTGCTACAATCCACGCTTCCTTTTGGCCAGATAGTTCACTGCATAAAGACCCAACATTTTCCCACCTTCCCCAACAAATTAACTGCTACTAGTAAAACCTTTCGTTTCTTTTTTTTTTTTGGGCTCCATTCCACTTGATTGCTACACTTTAAAAAAAAAAAAAACAAAAACAAAAATTAGTAGTAGTATCCAGATTCACACCTTGCCAGCTGCCATCGAACCTGGGTCCATACGTTATTATATTAAGGGAAAGAACAAATTTTCCGACCCAAAGCTACGAAAAAGTCTTGTCCCCCAACCTATAACACCTGGGCCATGTGCTATAAGTGGCCAGCCTGGTTCCAAAATCTATCTTCTTCTTCTTCTGTTTCTGGGACCATCTTTCCAAGGCTGGGGTGCTCCACACTCACCACCTTCCGCTCCTCATTCTTCCTACCATACCAAGTCTTTTTTTCCCTTTCTAAAAGAATATTAATTTAATATCACTCCACCATTTTTGTCTTTGACAATAAATACTTCAATTATTTTTTATATGATTTTTCATAACAAGAGAGAGATTTTATCCTCATTCATATATATATATATATATATATATATATATATATAAAGTTTCTTCACCAATTATATGCCTTTTTTTTCATTTTAAATTCTACTTATATTTCTCTTTTCCTTTTTTCTTTTAAAAAAATGTCCATAGGAATAAGCTCCAAGCAACGATCCCTAGGTGGGGTAAGTGCTAGTTTCAAGGTCCAAAATTTCATATTGCCAGCCAGCATCCAATGTCAAGACGTTATCTTCTATTACTATCTATTAGTCCAAAAAAGTGTTTTGAAGTCCGTTCCCCACCTAGGATGAGCTCATGATGCCATACGCCTGTCAAATACACAACCAACAAAAACAGCATAGCAGTACTAGTATAACAAAAATAAATAATAAGTACTAGTACGTACAAAATAGGAGTAGATAAAAAAAAATACGTAATGCTGAACGAACGTACCTTGCACGGCTGAACGGAACGGAAAATATGAACACGTAACGGTGAACTGAACGGAGATCCCGGCGCCGAGAACGCACAGTTCATGGACAACAACATACGCACACACAGTTCATCCGGACGAATTGATTTGAGTTCAAATGACGAACGATACAACTTCACCAGCCCTTTTTTTTTTACCCATTATTATAATTATTATTGTTATTGTCAGAGTAATATTTTAGCATTAGTTGGCCAATTCAATGTAATGTGTTCAATCTTTTGTCCGAAAATGTCCTCCAAACAATTGCAATACTAGCAATCATAGAGCTCCAAGCAATTCACTATGTACAAGGAAGTGATAGATTTCACTTTCACTTGGGGTCCCCTCCCTGTTTCAAAACTCTGCTACTATCTGTTTCCTTTGGTACTTCGAATCGCCGGAGTACAGAAAACGACCGCCGGTTTCTCGTCTATCTTGATCGGCACCGACATCTTCGCCGGAAAACGCTGGCAGACAAAAATTATCGGATAATATCAAAAATTGTCAGACCAACCTGTGTCTACGGATCTCCGGCTTTGGACATGGCTGAGAGCCGGCTCGGCCTTCTCTGGAAATCGCTGCGGCGGCGAATCTGATGCGACGAAGGCCTAATCAGAGCCGCTAAAGCTCGCTTTACCAAATCGCCTTCAACTGTCCCGATCCGGACGAGCGAATTCTTCATCGCCGATCTCTGAATGGTCAGATTCTTCAACGAGTAGGACGGCGACTGCTGCTGCGGCGGCGGCGCCTTGTTTAAGTTCTTGTGCAAACTACACCTGAAGGAACCTGGGTGGCTGGTGGGAGAACACAAGCAGGTTCTCTTGCAGCTGCTCTGCTTGCGAACCACCTGGTGGTGGTGGTGGTCCCGAGGTGACGACATCGCCACGGACCGGCGAGGCGAGATGGATCTGTCGATGGACATCCGTACCGACGGCGTCGGAGAAATCGGAGCCAGTCCGTGGAGGTTAACGCGCGTGGGAGACGCCGATCGGTGGAAGAAGCTGGATGAAGTGGAGGAGCAAAAGCTGGACGAGGTGGATGAAGAAAAGGATGACATGTCGGAGGCGGTGGGCGGGGAATAAAACCGGCCAGACGGAGACACGGAGCGCTGAAACGCCAACGCTATAGGCAACACCGGCCCGCTGGACCTTCTAGAAGATGTCGGCATTTGGAACTACTACCGGTCTACCACTAGACCAGACTGCCAGCGCTCTAGAGGGAGACCGCAATTTTTATCTTTCTTTTTTTTTTTTCCCCTTGACTCTAGAGGGAGAGAGGAAATGAAAGGAAAAGGAAAGAAATGGAGAGAGAGAGGGAAGATTTGTTGTATTTCCTTGGAAGGGCCCTAAGGCTCCTCAGTTTGGCAAACCTAGCTGTTGTCAAAGGCAAGCTTTATAGGATGGGACTGGGAGCGGGAGGGGATTGGGGTTTGTGGTAAATGAATTACAAGTTGGGGGGTAGTATTGGGAATATACAAGATAGCTAGAGTGGTTAAAGATGGGGTTTAGTAATAAGCAGAGGGTGGGTTAGGGATTTTGGGTGGAATATCGATCGGAGGGCTGGAAATGAATTTTCGGTGGGTTGTTTTGCTAAACGACGAATTTGAGAGGCGTTTGGGATGACAAATTTGTTACGGGGCGACATGTGTAAAAGTTGCCACGTAAAATAGTGGATAGAATCTGCAGAATTTCTTTTTTTTTTTCTTCTAAATTTGGATTGGGCCATGGGGTGGAGTGGGGTGGGATTCATTTTTTGGGTAAGCTGTCGCTTTGGTGGTTACCGTAATTGCTTTGCTGCTAAGTGCTTAACTTTAACTTGTTTGAGGCTCTTGCATTTTGCTCTCTTTTTTTTAGGTATAACTCACAAATGTTCACATTCGTTTTATGATCTGCGACTAATCCTGTTCGAAGCGGATCGGGTCCGTTGCAGGGGAAAGCTCTCCCAACGTTATTCTTTTCATTCCCATGAATTTCGAACCCTAGACCTCATGACATTTTACCTTCTATACCATATGACTAACGTCCCCACAATTTAGTGTATATAACAAAATAGTGACCTAATCTTTGTCGCTTGTGCCTTGTTTGGAAAGAAAATTTGCTTCGTTTTCTATGAATACAATATTTAAATCGTCTTTTTATTTCACATATATCAAATTACTACAGTAATTTTTTTTCTATAAAAAATTCAGAAAAATGCAATCCGAACATGAATTTACCATACCATACCTTAGGCAGGGATGATAAACTACTGCTTTGTGTCGCCATATGTACTGCACCAATCTAAACTACACATTGACACTATTCAGCACAGAATAAACTTTCTTCTATCTCCCTCCCTAGCTATTATATTATGGTCCTTGAAGCTTGCTAGCTAACCTTGCCGAATTCTAGAGCCGATTTATTTTGACAAAAAAAAAACAGGCATTAACTTTTCCAGTTAGACAAGATGCAGGATAAGATTTTTCTTTTTTTTTTTTTTGTAAAAAATATTTTTTTAAATTCCCTCCCCGGCCTTCGGGAAGTAGGGATGATGAGCCAACAAATAGAAGAACAATACGCTTGCTTCTGGGCACAACATGAATTTTATCGAGTTTGCAAGGCAAAGCAAAGAAGATTACATATTATATGTTAGAACGTAAACTTCATTTTCACTGAAGGGCATCTTTATGATAACATCGATGAGATAAGCTTGCGCTTAGTTGTGGTTGCTAACAAATGCATCAAGCGATAACGTGAACGATTTAGTCAAATCCTTGGCCCAATTGCAGTTGTGAGACGAAATTAAAAGTGCCAAATTATGGTTTGTTAGGTTGAAGAATCTAGGAAGGATTTCTTTTTCTTGCCAAATTACGGTTTGTTTTGTAAGATTTATTGTATCTGTTAAATTACAAATCCGTAATTGTAGTGCATGTTTAATGACAGTTATGTAAATCAAATGGTGATGAACGATTTTCAACAATCTATTAAGGAAATTTGTTTTTTTTTATAAATTTTTTTTTTTAAAAAGGCTCATAAAACTACTCTAATGTTGGGATAAAAAATTCGGGGAGATTATAGGATTCATGAATATTTGTGAAAAAGCTCGAACTAAAATCAGACGCTTATCAAATGTCACCATACATCGAGCCGCAAACCGTGCAATATATTAATACTTTTCAGATGCCACGACACAATTAATTAATGCTAATCTTTGTGACTTTGATCTGCGCACGCATCTGTACAAAAGAAATGAACCTATACATACATATATACATATACGATTCTATAAACGCCAAGCTCAAATTGTGCGTAGCTAATTACAATATATAATGTCCAACACCACTAATTATAGCCGCGCTGAATTCTGGATGCCGGTTGCTCTAAGCTAAAGTTTGGACCGATATCTATAAAGCAAACAATAATCTTATGTCAGAATGATATCTATCTATTTCATTTGGTCGGACTTCTTGTTGAGGAATGGAGTACAGTCCACGATTTGGCAAGGTACTCACTTGATTGGTTGTCAAGTGATTCAAGCTGCCACTTCTGAAATTTGCATTAACATCTATACTATTGCATACAAAGAGAGAATTGATGGTTTGGAGTAAACAATTTTTGCCACTTTATTGTAGTATACTCTCAAATTTGTTCTTATGAAACCACTGTGCTTCTTGGCCACTAGCTCAGCGGCCGCCACCGAGACGGGTCTTAAGATCCTGCATGGGCTGTAGGTAGGGGTTCAAATTCCATCTACAGTTAAAAAAAAAATCCAAGGGTTATACCATCGCACTCCTTTTATCTAGTAAGGTTTGTGTACCTACTAGCCCCTGATACAAAGTCTCTGTAGGCTCCTCCTTCCCGGTAGTCTAGGATAGATAGGTTATACAACAGTTGTCGTCTCCAGAAAAAAAAAAATTTGTTCTTGTGAAAATCACTTATTACTTTACTATCTGCACATGAATTGTTAAGATAACTGTATCTTACTATAATTATCTAAACACATCTTAATGAAATATATGTCTAGTTATAAGCATTACTGTCACTGCCAAAACAACCATCATTTTTTGGGAAAAGAAGGTTAAAATGCTGCAATTTGCTTTAGTAATGTAAATTTTATTTTAAATTAATTCTTTTTTAAAAAAAAGAATTATGAATTATACACACATCACATATGCCTTTAGCACGAGTGTGTAATACTCCATTTTGCTAGCTAAATAAGGGGAAGAATTAAGCAGCTATTGTGAGATGAGAAAAGAGATACGAATAATTCTTTCGTACATATTGAGGTGGATACGTGCAATTACAAGTTATTTAATCACTCATTCTCCTCACACACCTAAATTTGTTGTTGTTTTTGTTACATTTCTTCCCCAATACGCAGTAAAGTTCTTTTTTTATCCTATCCACAATTACTGCATAAATTTTTATCATGAAGCGCAGTTGCTGAACTAATTGGACTTCAAAGAATCAATTAAAGTCTTGTATTGTAAAAAATTGGAAGCCCTGCCCTTTGTTTAGATTTGATCCTCCAGAATGCATTATTTGATTCCAGACCCGTCCCATGTGAGGAGCTGCCTCCTCGACATCTTTGACAGCCGGCCGGTTGCTGTCAGCTACCGTGCATGGCTACCCACGTACAGTGCTGCAACTTAGATTATTGGTAATGACGACTTATAAATGTTTAATTAGGAGGATTAATGGCCTTTGGCACCACAAAATAGCCAGATATATAGTACGTAGCTGACTCCTGGAATTCTCCTTCCCTTCGTTGAATCAGTAGTATAATAATATTTAACTAAACTATTCATTCCCTCATCTTGTGAACGAACTTGCATGCTAATTAGGAACGCAATTAACCTGATCATCCTCTTAGCCTCTCGTCCCAAAACAAATTCAGCATAATGAATGAATATTGATACGCATGATTGATATTTGGGGTTTGAAAATGTGTAGCAGAAGAAATTGACAAAGCGGAATGTGTCTGTGGCTGGAAGCTGCAAACCTGAAAGAATGAGATGCTCCCTGTCTAACTTTTGTTAACAATTACTATTGACTTCTGTAGCCTCTGATTCTTAAGAATCTCATTCTATGCTCCTCCTTTTTTTTTTCAAAAAGAAAAGAATGTCAACACCTTCAATCCTTGTGTCGACATTTTTGTTAAAAGAACAAGAAAGATGCTAATCAATGATAATTCAAAGTGGACGTCATTAGCCTATTTATAAGCAAAGCAGGTGTATTTGCTCAGCTCTTGATGATCGTCTTGGCCAGCCAGGAATGAGCATCACTTTCACTAGTGTATTGCTCTAGGCCAGCCAGCAGATTGTGGCAATTGTGAACTAATTAAATTTAACATGTCAACATTCAGGATAAACAAAATGCTTATGTTAAACTAAAGATTTCTTGGTCGCTAGATTTTGTGAAGAGGGGATTTTTTTTTTTCCTTTTTCCTGTTTGGTGGTGGTGAGGGAGGGGACAGAAAGGAGGAAGAAAAGGAACGATTGTTTTAGCAACTTTCTACATTCTGCTGATTCCATCCCACCCCTATCCCTATAACAGTTGCAGCAGTTGTTGGCCAGCAACCGCGTCATGTTGCATTAGTCTCACCACCAATGATCCCGCTGAGGGGTTTTCTTTTCTTTAGCAGCTCCAATGAAACCGTAGTTATTAAACCAAGTGAAGGGCTACTGATTCAACCAGCGGGTAAGCGGTTGAACTAGTGGGTCATTAAAATAGTTTTTTTAATAAAATTAGATATTAATATTTCACTATTTTTAATACAAGATATAAAGTATTAACATTAAAAAAATGTATTTTGACAAATTTTTACTCAATTTTCAATGAGCTATTAATTACTTTAGGAAGATGTACAAAAAAAATTTAATTGGCAATCCTCTCAAATTTGAAGTGTAAAATTTTATTTTTTAGTTAATTTAAGCTATTAAATGTAATATTTTAATGCGAGTAATTTTTGTCTTGTGAATGCATGATAGTAATGTATCACTTCAGTAATTCATTTATTAATTACATAGAGTAGGTAATTAGCTTAACTAAAGTCTTCAATAAGTATTTGAAGGGAGTATTACATAAAAAGAAAAGATTTTCCAAAGGCAGAAAGTAGGGAACATCAAAGTTTAGACATTATGAAAGTTTATAAAAAATTAAAGGCACTTCGATAGTAGCATCAACAAGTCCAGTGGCCTGATAGTGGAAGCTTTACAATTCTTTGCTGGAGGTCCTGGGTCTGAAACTATGGAGTAGCAGGCCTTCAGTGCCTGTTGGATTGGTCAAAAACTGGCCGGTTTATTGGTTCTTTGGTTAAATTATCGAATCATTGAATAATCAACGAGTTACTTCATTAGGACTACCAGAGCTTCTTGTTCCA